AATGAACTTGTCGGTGAATTAATTGTCGGTGAACTAAGTTGTCGGTGAAGTGATTGTCGGTGAAATGAGCACCACCCTATATTAAAATATGCAATTTTTTATCACCGCCATTTTTTTCGTAACACAGCGTAAACTTATGCATTCATATGAGAAACCTTAAATATTCTTTCTACCTTTCATTGAATTAACATCACTGTATAACGCATAACAATGTTTAATTGTTTATAACACATTAACATTAAATCTTAGAATAATGGTCGATGAATTTTATTATAAAAGATTAGAGTATAATGGAAAATGTGCAAATTGCAAACGATATAACACATATAAAGCTTGGTGTCAAACGTGTGACCCTCAGAGAACAACGCAAGTGGAAATAACAACTTAAAGCTACAGAATACGAAGAAATAATCGAATGGATTTCTTTCAATAGATTAGTTAATATTCAAATCATTGGTGACAGATTTTTAGCAACGTTGGTTGGATGGAATACAATATGTAAAGTCTAAAAGTAAATATAAATATATGCAATCACGTATGAAATCACATAAGGTGGAACTTAAACCATTAACTAGGTCACAAAATTTAACCGAAATGTTAGATGAGGTAAGTCAAATATTGAATAAATTAATGATATTGCATAAGATATATATACTGTAGTTTCGTTTGATTTATTCAAAGTCTATGGATTAACACAAAATATTGCAACAAATAATTATATGTTAATATTTGATGAATTTGGTTCCAAAAGAAGTATATATTATGGAACATGTACAAATTGCAAGCGATATAATACTTCTGAAGCTTGGTGTCAGACATGTGATCCTCAGAAAACAGTACAAGGGTGGACGAGTGGAAATGAGGATGTCGATAATTGTATTAAAGAATTTCCACATCTTATGTAAATGTAATCGAGTGGATTCCTTTTAATAGATTAGTGAATATTCAAAAGAATGGTGATGGATTTTTAGCAACTTGGTTAGATGGAATACGATATGCAAAATATGAATATGTATATAATAGATATAAATATACACAATCACGCATGTCGGCATGTATAATTACACTTAAAATATTGACTGGTCCACAAAATATTCAAACCATTTTAAAAGTGAGTTTATATTTTTTTCACGTATAGTTAAATTTATAGTATACTTAATTCATATACATTTCTATATTTATATATTTATAAGTTTACAAATCATACTCAGTTAGAAGGTGAATGTATATGTGGGTTGACTCAAAACACAATTACAAATGAATATATGTTAGTATTTGATGAATTTATTTCTAAAAGAGATATAAGTAATGGAAAATGTGCAAATTGCCAACAATATTACACTTCTAAAGCTTAGTGTCAATCATGTGACCCTCAGACGACAATACAAGGAATTAAAGAATTTCAACATAAAGCCACATCTTATGATGTAATCGAATGGATTCCTTTTAGTAAATTAGATAATGTTCAAAATATTGATAAAGGGGGTTTGACTTTGTGTTTTCAGCAACGTGGTTAGATGGTAAAAGAATAGTTTCAAAATTTCATTTCAATGAGTACGCAAAGTCACGTACACCATCCTGCGTAGTTGCACTTAAAACTTTACCTGGTTCACAAAAGTTAAAATGGTCTAATATAGATAAATTATGTATAAATTATTAACATTAAATTTTATTTAACAAGTTTATAAGTTACACAGAATTTAGATTAATGGGTCCAATAGGTACATGTGTAAATTTTATTATGGTAAATAAAAGAAATAAATCAAAATAAAAATTTTATTTCAAGGTTATTCCTTTCATGGTAGCTTTCTTTACTCTGAGTGGTTATTGTTTGTGCCGATTTACTTTGAGTAATCTGAGTAATCCGAGTATTTACTTCTGAATTATTAACTTTTATAAACTTTAGTTCATAATCCTTACTAGAATCATGATCTGATTGTTCTGAGATCGAACTGTCCAAATCTTGATAATTCACATGATCAGGTTTTGGTGGTGTAGAATATGCATTTGTATTTGTTTTTGAAATATCTTCAAAGTAACGTATGCACTCTAAAAACGTGGCTTGATTTTCTGTATGTTGTTGATTTATAGGAATCATGGGGGATATGTAAATGATATTCATGTTATTTTGGTCACACTTTAGAAACCATGTTCGAACATATGACGTGATAATGTCATATCATAAATTGTTCACCACCATGTACCCGAAAGCTTGTTGAACAATTTTTAAAATTTTTGCATATTTAGTATATTTATTTGTGCTATAGTCTACTATGTTAACTGCACTATTATAAAGGTCAAACAGCTTCTCTCTTTCATCTGTAATCTTGACTTTGTCTTTACTTAATTTAGTTCCCTTTATTAAATGAGTCATCAGCTGTTCTGGTTTTACTTCAGCCACAGCGAGTAACATTGTGTCAATTATTGAGTGTAGTAACTCATTTTTATCAGCACTGAAAAGTATAATATCTAGTTCATCAAGAGTTTTACAACATTGAGCTCGAGTTTCCACCTTGCTGGCTCAATAAACATTTAAGTCTTTGGTTGTTTATTTGTTCTATTACATGTAAAAATAGTTTAATTGTTGTGCTTTCGATGGATGCAGTTGGTCAAATGATTTCAGAACAGTTAAACTTTCTATCATCATTAATTAACAATGATGCTGAAAATGCATCAGATAGAAAAGTGTCCCATAATTTCACTAGATTCTCAGATACTCTTGATGAAGCCAAAGTAGTTGTATTATTAGTTGTAATACTGAGCAATCTAGGAATAAGAAGAACTACTCGAAATAAGTCTAGCTCGGAAAGATGATCTAATAAAGTAAAAATCTAGTTTTATTAATTTATTAATACAATAAGACGAGTGCAAGATTAATATTAGTAAATATGACAATGATGGAAAAATAAGATATTTACTAACGAGAGGTGCCAATTCAGTTTAGAGCCAGTTTGGCTATTAATCAATGCCAATTTTCAAGAGTACTAGAGTCTGGGTTTGCTTATAATACTATTGTTTTAACTGGCCAATTACTAAATTTAAAGTTTAATTGCCAACTGACAAACCAAGTCCCAAGCATATTACTAACAATGATAGTTCTTGTGACTGTCATACTAATAGATAAGCTACAATAAACTTAAGAATTGACTATTGTTTAATAAGCCAAATCTGAGAATACTAAGTATAAAGCATATGAATATAAGATTTCGACTATTATTGAAAAATGTTTATTAGGTCATATATAAGAATAGAAGAGGACAGGATGAAAAAACTAGACATAAATTGTCATGTCTGGAAAACAACTTATTCTTTAAATAAGACTTTATTAGTAACCAGATCAAAAATACCACACAATTGTACAATAAATTATAATCAATTAATTTCACTTCAAGTTTGATCTGAGACTAATATTACTGTTATACTGGAATAACCAAATCTTGTTGATATCCAAGATTGTAATTATTCTTTTGTATGGTCATTATGACAAGTCAATTACTATATCTAAGATTTGATTGTAATTTAACAGCCCATATTCTATTGATATTACTAAGTGTAATATATATAAATATAAAATAATTTCTTGTGATTGCTATTCTAACAGACTACATACTATCTGAACATAATACATACAAGTTCTTTTGTGACTTTATCTTAACAGGCCACATTTCAAACTTAATATTTGACTGTTATCTATAGATAAAATCCTATTGCTATTCATTAAAGCAACTCTGGTAACTCATTGTGCTTTATCTATCTTTACTAAAGCTATACCTAAGTTTAATATATACAAATATGCAACAATTTTCTTGACTATTGTTCTGACAGACCCTTATTATTAATTTATTACACTCTTTTTACCAAAAGAACAATACTTATCTAAGTGTAATATATACAAATAAAACATGTAATAATTCTTTGCTTCCTAATAGGCCACTTATTAAAAACTTAATATTTGCTGTTATCTGACAGACCACATTTCAACTGATATCTTCTAAAACAATAACTAATAACTCATTATATTTGCTTAATACAAAAACACAATATCTATACAAGCATAATATATACAAATATATAATAATTTCTTTATATTCTAACTAAAAAATTAAAATTTAACTATCATCCAACAGGCCAAATCCTACTGATTTAAATAATACAATAATTTTTTTATAACTATTATTTAACAAATTGTTTACTAAACTTAGAATTTGACTGTTGTCTAACAGGTCAAATTCTACTAATATTTACTAAATTAATAATTATTAATTCATTATACTCTATTTATTAAGAATAATATTTATCTGAGTATAATATACATAAATATATACCAAATTTTGTGACTATCATTCTGACAAGCTATTTACTAAACTTAAAATTTGACTGTTATCCAAAAAGTTAATTTCTACTAATTTTCACTAAATTAATAATTATTAATTTATTATACTTTATTATTAAAAACAATAATTATTCAAGCATAGTATATACAAATATGTAACAAATTTTATAGCTATTATCCTGAACATTCTATCTATTAAACTCAAAATTTACTATTATTTGACAAGTTAAATTCTACCAAGATTTACTAAATTATAACTTTAATTCATTATACTTTATTTATTAAAAACAATATTTTCTAAGTGTAATAGGCATAGCAGACATTTGATTTGATTGGCTTGAAGATCTTTGAGTTATATAGTATAAATAAAAAAATTTAAAGTAATCCTTATTATAAAAAACTACATTATCAATTGGTAACTTGTGGTTTTTAAAGTATTTTTTTACTTCTTTATACATCTTTAGTAAAAAAAGATCTGTATAAATTAAAGTCTTTCTCCTCTATAATCACCTTCTTTATAATCACAACTCATATAATCATATTAATTTTTGAGTCAATTTATTAAAAAACTTATAAAAAAATCTTCTATATAATCACACTCTTTTATAATCACTAATTTTCTTGATACAAACTGTGTGATTATAAAGGAAGACTGTAGTATCTCTAAAGACTTCATTTAGAGAGCAAATTTAGGCAAATTTAGGCAATGAATATAGTAATAAGTTTTCAAAATCAAAAAAATTTAAATATTATTGCCTAATTTTAGTAAAGTTTTTCTAAAAAAAGTAATACCACTAGACTAAGTAAACTTAATCTTTATAGCACAAAAGTTAGACAGACATAGTATGATAGTAGGTATAGTATAATAGTTAGATTCAAAATGTAGTATATAGTATAATAGATAGATTTAGATATAGTAAAATAGTTAAATTTGAATATAATATGATAGTTAAATTTAGGTATAGTATGATAGTTAAATTTAAATATAGCATGATGTAGATTTGAATATAATACAATAGTTTGATTCAGATACAGCATGATAGTTAAATTCGAGATAGCAACAATAATTAGATTAATGATATAGTATGATAGTTAGATTTAGATATAGCAAAATTGTTAGATTTGAATATAGTATATTAGAGAGATTTGGTTATATTATAATAGTTAGATTTAAGATTTAGCACAATAGTTAAATTTTGAGATGTGGTATAATAGTTAAAGTTTTAAATTAGATTATAAATAAGAGTTAGAATAGAATTAAAATGCAGAGCAGCCTTAGTGATAAGGGTAGAGTTAGATAGTATTATAGAAATAGTGCAAGAATTAAGATCATAATTAGAAATTTTTTTGGGTCTATCTTAGTGATGTAGTAGAATTATTCAAAGCTTATATTATAACTAGTTATAGCAATCATTAAAATGATTCTACTGCATTACTAATCTAGCTAGAGGTTAAGTTAGATAGTATTACAGAATTAGTGTAAGAGTTAGATTTATGTTAAAATAGTTATATAGGTCTTGAAGATTATAATTAGATTGATATTGTATGACAAGGTAAAGTAGCATTTAAATTAATATTAAATTACAGAGCAGATATTTGTTATTAATAATATTCATGATATAATATAGTTTGCATATTATGTAAATAAATATAAAATAGATATAAAATAAATACTATATATAACTATAATACTATATAATAATATATATGAACTAAAACATTAAAAAATTCAATAAATAAAAACTGTACAAACTTTGGAAATATATCATTTATTTTATAATTTATTTATTTATTATATTATCCTATTATACTATATTTCGAATCTAAATATTGTATTACTAATTTCAAATCTAATTACTATAATACTAAACTACCTTTTTATAAATTCCAAATCTAACTCTACCATGCTACCTGTCTTGACTCTAACTTTACTGCACTGTCTGTTTTGAGTCTAACTCTACCAGTTTCAAATTTAACTTTACTAAGCTATCTGTTTTGAATCTAACTCTACTAATTTACCTATCCCAAATCTAACTCTATTATGCTACCTGTTCTGACTCTAAACCTATCATACTGTGTTACTTATCTTGAATCTAATTCAATTATACTACTTATTTTGAATCTAATTCTACAATACTGCTTGTTCTGAATCTAATTCTACTATGCTATTTGTTCTGAATCTAATTTTACTGTTTTACTTGTCCTTGTTCTAAATCTAATTCTACTATGCTATTTATCTCAAATCTAATTCTATTATACTATTTATCCTAAATCTAATTCTGCTATACTACTTTTTCTAAATTTAATTCTACTATACTACTTGTTTTGAATTTTATTCTATCATGATATTTGTTCCAAATCTAATTCTACTATGCTACTTGTCTGAATTTAATTTTATCATGCTACTTGTCTTAAATCTAATTCTATCATACTGCTTGTTCTGAATTTATTTCTACTGAGCTATTTGTTCTAGATCTAACTTTATCATACTACTTATTCTAAACCTAACTTTACTATACCACTTGTTTCAAATATAACTATTGTGCTACTTGTTTCAAATCTAACTACTGTGCTACTTGTTCTGAACATAACATGCAACTTATTTCAAAACTAATTACTGTGCTACTTGTCCTGACTAACAATTATACTATCTGTTTCAAATCTAATTACTGTGCTACTTGTCCTGACTAATTCTTGTACTATTTGTTTCAAATCTAACTACTGTACTACTTGTTCCAAACTAATCACTATACTTCTTGTCCTAAAACTAAATACTAGTTATTATACTATATTCAGTTGCTAACTATTATGATAATAATATTGATAATTAGAAAGATAGACAATTAGCTGAATTTAAATTTATATAATGATTTGCATTTTGCATATTGTTTATTTATTTACATTTTTTTAACCAATTAAATCAAATGTCTGTCATGCTAGTGTAATATATACAAATATATAACATATTTTATAACTGTCATTTGACAGGCTACTAACTAAAATCAAAATTTGACTATTATCTAACAGGTCAAAATTTACTAATATTTATTAAATCAATAACTATTAATTTATTATGCTTATTTAATAAGAACAATATTTATCTAAGGTCAGACCAATGCACCCAGCCCAATATAAAGGCCTACCTCCAAATAAAGTAAGGGCAAGTGAAGTTAACCTGATCATGCGATGATAGTTCAAATTGAACAATAGTCTAATTTTACTTTATTTGAAGAAGTGACAAGAGTAGTGCTAATGAGGGTAATTAGATGGTGAAAAAATGGCTTGTAATTAGTACATATGATAGTAAATGTTTCAAAAGCTACAAATTTCTTCTTCTCTGTAATTTCATATAAATACAGTCATTTTTCTTTTATAAAATAGTGAGAATTAACCTCTATATAATTAAGTAATAAAAAACCTTTATTAACCACTAAAAATAAAGGACCAATATCAATTGAAAACCTAATGCTTTTTAAAGATCATTTACTTACCCATGATGTACTCAAAAGATGCCTTAATCTGTATCAAATTATATCTGACTTATCTCTTTTTTTGAGTAATGTTACATGATGTTTATAATTCTTGAGTGATAATTTGTCACCTTTCTTTAGTTTGTTGGTGTGTGTGTTTTGAGCTATTTAACCTTTGACACTATTTTAACAAGATCTGCAATATATTGTATAAACATACAGTACTACTATGCATGATATAAAACAATAAAAATAAAACCTTGTCTATTGCATGTTTTTTCCTGATAGTAAAATGATATATATTCTTTAGCAATTTAATTAATTAACTTTATAATCACATAATTTATTCAGATCTAATTTAATTAGTTAAAAATTGCTTGAAGTTTATAAATTTGACTAATCATCAATTTGGTACAATTAACCAATCATAAAAGATTTAACAATTATGGGAACAACTTGATTGTAAATTACAAATTGTTATTCTGTTCACAATTTATTAATCATAAACTATAAAATAAGGTCTAGAATAATATTATAGTATTATTTTGTGCAAACCTATATATTTATTTTTGAGTTGTCATATATAAAATTGAGTATTTGATTTCAAATAAAGACAAAAAAAAACAACTAATGAAATCAGAATAATCTTATAAAACACTATAAAAATTGCACTTGTTATTTAGTATTTGATTATAATCCAATTGAATACATTTTGCTATATAGTAAATTTTGTAAATTATTAGGCAACAAAAACTCTAAATCTAATATTTTTTTTCATCTAATTCTCTATTCAAATAGATACAAGTTTAGCCTAGTTGATTGTTTCCCAATTCAAATCTCGAATAACTTGATATAGTATTAGCAGTAAATAATCAACATTATTAGGAATGTTATAATTTGTATACATATTATAAAAAATAAACATAATAGTTTATATTTATTTGTAGACAGTTTTTCACTATACTTAAGTTATTCAATATTAATCGTCAATAAATAATAATAACAACTCAACTAACTAGCAATAAAATAAATTTTTTTACCTTTCTGCATTGTTTAATTCTTGATTTAAATGATTCAATTCTTTATTCAGACAATTGATTTCAATAAAAAAAAAGATTCTCTGTATTTTTAATTTTTCAAAATTGATGTGGCTTTATACCAATAGCTTTAATGATATTAACATTTTACTTAATATTTATTTTCAGAGTACTTTTTGATTATTTCTAAATTTGTTTAAACTTACGAATTTGTTTATTGATTGAGGTTTTAGTGTATCCTTGTGAGTCACCACATTGCCTATTTTATCCAAAAAGGAAATTGTTTACTCTAGCATTTTTATATATAGTACTTGTGCTTATGCTTGAGTGTTACGTATCAGTTCTGGTGCTGTACCCCCAAAATTTTTTTATCTAATTCGTGTTGTATTTATAGATAAAAAAAAAGATAGGGCTTTGTATTTTTTAGGTAAATATTTGCAAATTGTTTGTATTTTAATAAAATAAAGGCAATAATTCATCATATGTGAATTAACCCTATATATTAAAACTCTAGTATCCATCCATCATGCTATTGATCAATCAAAATATTCTAATGTATAGTGTATGGCTGGCTTAACGAACAGAAATAGCTATCATCGTTACTGTTTCTGATAGGTTACCGAGTTTTGTTCAATATATTTAAGAAAATTATTTGGGCAACAGTTGTTAAGTAAACTACTGATTTTTATTATTGGTAATGTCTGTCAGATTTATGACACAGTCAAAATTGCTTCAAAGTTCTTTTACCAGGAACATAGTGGAACAAAGTGGATAGTTCTATTCGAGTTTTGCATTCATATACAAAATCATTATTCTGATTGAATGCAGTGATCATATGATAAAAATTTTATGTCTCATCTTTGCTTTTTTTGGAAGTTTGGTTAGCATAAATTCTTGATATTAATACATATTTACTAGTTTTCAATCTGTGCTTCGCCATGGGGTAGCACATAAAAAAAATTCAGAACAGGCTTGTAGCACAGATTTTCTGAACTACAAATCAGATTTTGACCATTTGTTTTGCTTATATGAAACAGCCTTTAGCACTTTAAAAAAAGGTATTCGTTGAATGATTTTACTAATAAACTACCTCTCTTTAACTCCTAACCTTAACTTTTTAACACTAAAATTATTAAATTCTGCTGCACCACAAACCTGTCAGAATTTTTGTCATAATTGCATAGTATGCATATGACCCAATTTATCCAACTTGTAATCAAATACTATAGTCCATAATCTAATTACTGTCATATTTTTGGATAGACTTTTGATATTTAACAATTTTAGTTAAGATAAACTCTCATGAATAGCATAACTGATCATAGCTCTGATTTCTCATACTATTATATTTTGGAAAGATTTGAGATTTGGATTTTTATTTACTTTAATTACAACTAAATATATACTAATATAGTATGTAATTTTTTTTTCAAACAATTATTTGATTTGGGAATGTAGGTATATTGTTTACTCAATTAGCAAGTGCCATGACGAATAATTATGATCAATATACAACTCTAACCAATACGTAAATTTTTTTCAAACAACTTTGTTTTGAAAATTTGTGTTCATTGTTTGCTCAATTAGCAAGTGTCATAATGAATAAATAAGATCAATATACAATCCTACATAACCAATACATAATTTTTTTTCATACAATTTTGTTTTGGGAATTAAGGTACATTGTTTACTCAATTAGCAAATGCTATGACTAATAACTATAACATTTTTTGTGATGTATTTAAGTTTTAACAACCAATCAAAAGCATTAAAGCATATACCCAAAATTGAATATGTTGTGTCTCAGATTAACGTAAGCCTCAGTTGACAGCTGATGCATCTCAAATATCAATCATTAGGTGAGGTGTCTCAGATAATTGATCAATATTTGAGATGTGTAGACTGTCATCTGGCGCACTCCCTTTAACTTTAAATTATTGTTATTGCTATCATTATCGTAATCAACTTTTAAGTAATAATATTAACTTTGTAAATAATAATTTGAGCTTATAACGATTTTTGTCATATACTTTGTGGCTTCGTAGCCTATATCTTGGTTACAAAATGTTTTTTTTTTATACTTTTGTTCTATAAGTTCATTGCCTAGTGTATTGCTTATACATTTGTTATTCTTATATATTTATACTGTTTGCTACCATTGCCCATACATTTGTTACCAATATATTTGTTGTCTATACGTTTATTGTCTATACATTCATTGTCTGTAAACTTCTTACCTTGACATTAATTCACCATCTATCCACTACTTTTAACATATTTTTATCGATTTCTTTAGAAAATTTCAAGTGGTATTATTTTATTTAAATCTATATTACATAAAAAAAAAACTTTTTAATTATTATTTATTATAAAATATATCTTTATTAGTAAAGAAACCTTTGAGAGCATTATTAACCAATACTTAATGAGCTTACCTGAAAAAAAGCGAGATAAGGCATTAATAAATATAGAACTTCTTAATAAAATCAAATTAATCCTATGAAATTACACAAATACAAATATCAGTGATCATAATACATGGGATTGGGCAAAAAAGAGGTTTCGCTTAGAAGAAATAACCCCAATGATTTTAGGGTCATAGTAAAGAAGGCCAACAACCCAGTTTTAATAATTGAAAATATGTATGAAACACTTTGCCGAAGTCATGCTGAAATTGATCAACATGGCAGACAAAAACAATTGTGGAAGACGATCAAAGAAAAATGGGATGGATTAGACAAAGTATAATTGAACAATTTGTCAATAACTATATGATATGTGCTACAAGGAAGCTATTTTTCCACCCATTAGTCGCAAAACTCATTATCGCTAAAATATTTTATCCCGCTTACAAGTAAGCTAATTTTATATTACTTATTTAATTTTATTTTATTTACTTTATTTAATTTTATTTTTTTTACTTTATTTAATTTTATTTTATTTTCCTTATTTAATATATATTATTTTTATAAGATTAATTTAATCGACCTATCTTTCGATGCGATAGAGATTATAAGTATATTTGTCATGTTAGAGATCACTTCAGTAGATTTTCATGGGCAAAGCCTCTTACATCCAAAAGAGCTGTTGAAGTAGCGGCATATTTATTTGAGTTGTTTCATAGCTTGTGTTCACCTCCAACTATTCTACAATCGGACAATGGCAAGGAGTTTTGTGCCACTGTGATCAAAGAGCTTATGCAAATATAGCCAACTGTTAAAATTATAAATAGAAGACCAAGACACCCTCAATCACAAGGCTTAGTTGAATGAGCCAATGGAATCCTTTAACAAAAGCTTGAAAAGTGGAAGGAACATACTTGATATACTGATTGATATTTCGGGCTTCGTTTTGTTGTTACTTCTATGAACAATAGCTTTTGTCGTTCACACAAAAAAACACTATATGAATTAGTATATGGTAGTAAGCCTCAAAATAATTGTATATTGGTTAGTGAATTATTTTCAAGGGATATACTTGATGAAGAAAATATTCCAGAAACAATCATAATACAAGATATTGCTGATAGTGCAAACTTGGATAATGATTTGGAGGGTATGTATTTTAAATGTATATTTTAAATTTATACAGTATTTTAATATAATTTTATTAATATATATTACAAATGATAAGTACTTGTTATTGGTTATATTGTGGATGATAACCTATTACATACTAGGTTACTATATATTTCACGTAGCTTCGCCACATGAAATATATATGGTTCCTATTATGTAATTTTTATCAGACGCAATTTAACTGATAACACGATTATTGGGTATGTCTGATGTAAGCACCATTGTTTTTTGTATATATAATTGATCATTTTCTAATCACGATACAATTTTCTTTTACTTTCGCTTACCCTTTTTTTCTCTTTCTTTTTTTTTTTTTTTATTAAATAAAAAAAGAGTTTCGTAAAAGCTTCACAATTACCGACACAAGAAGAAATTGATAAATTGCAGCAAGCATCCCTTGTTTCAAATACTGAATGAAATACCTCTCAGTGGCTTCGAGTTATAGATAGATTTAATAAAAGTTGCAGTATTACCCAGTCTATTGAACTAATCAATTCAGTGGAAGAGTTAGAGGATTACCTTTGCAAATTTATCACTTGGCTAAAAAAAGAAGATGGTACTGATTACAAAGTTGAGTCAGTTCATAATTGTTACAGCGCAATTAATTGTTACCTTAAAGAGCACAGTGTTCTTCAGCAAATTAAAGTCTGAGATTGGTATAAATTTCCACATGCACTACGTACTCTTAATGGCAAAATGAGGACTTTACAAGCCAAGGGTTTAGGTGATCCAAAAAAATCAGATGGATTATCAGCTGAAGAAATCAAACAAATACTTGATCACCCGTACATGAATACTGATAATAATGAATCTCTTATTCGTTGAGTATTTTTCTGGTTATGTTTGTTACGTATGTGGTCTCCAGGGTGGAGATGCATATCGAATTTGCTGAAATGATCTTAAACGGCGCCGAGATGGTGGTTTGGAGCTCCTGTTGCACAAAGAAAAAAATAACCAAGGTGGTGCTTTTTAAAGAAATAAACATGGTAGAACGGATTCACAACATATCCCAATTTCTCTGGATTCATTAAACAACTATTACACACCTGTGAAAGATATTCTGTTGTATTTGTTCAAGTTACCTGATTTAGCTGTATTACAAAATCTATTATTTCATGAAACTTGTAAAAGTAAGAAAGATCTACAAAAAGGTAACTGGTACAAAACTAGCCCTATGGGAAATTCAAAACTCATGCATGATATTGTTGAAAATACTAAGATTAATCTTAGTAATGGATGACATATTACAAATCATTCTTGCTGACATACAGCAATTCAACTTTTAAAAAATAATGGGCTTTCCAAATTTGACCTTAAAGCTTTTTCTGGCTATCATTCTCGTGAAAGTTTAGCTGATTATTGTCAGCTTGGTGAAGATCAGTGAATTAGTAATATTGCAATACTGATTCCGTATTCATTATATGAATCAAATTTAGATGAGTATGATGATGATTATGAAGGTATGCGTTAATCCTATTTTTGCAAAAAATTTATTTTTATTAAAAAAAATTTTTTTTATTAAATATATTTTGACAAGGTTCAACTATAATTGAAGATTGTCAGGAAGGTATATACAGTTAAATTATTTTTTTATTCATTTAAAAACTTTATTTTTTATTTTTTTTTATAAATTTATATTTAATGGTTTAGCTGAAATTGAGGATTATCAAGAAAGTATGTACAATTAATCAGTTTACTACGCAATTTAAAAGTTGATTTTAATTAAATTTCTTTTTTATATTCATATTTTGAAAGGCCCAATCATTATTGAAAAGCATCAGGAAGGTATGCATAATAAATTATAAATTTGCTTTGTTTAGATAATCCTATTCTAATTAAATTTTTTTTTTAATATTTGAAAGTCATAACCGTAATTCCAGAAGTAACAGAGACCCTGAAAGTAATAGAAGTAAACTCAAAAGTATCTAAAAATTTGAAATTAGCTGAAGAGGATCCAAAAGTAGTTAAAAACAATCAAAAAGGTATGCATTATTAATTCTGGATTTGTCCAATTAAGACAATTTAAAAATTTTTTTTTTTAATTAAAATGTTTGCATATTTTAATAGTGAATTTTTTGAAATCACAAACTTCTAAGCCAAAACCTCATGAAAAAAATGCATCAGTAATGGACCCTTTCAAACTACCAGTTAAACCCGATTCTCCACTTTTCAATTTATATTGCAAGAATCGCAAAAATAAAAGAAGTCTTTCTGACATAAGTAATAATATTATTATTAAACTCCCTGCAAGTACTTCACCACAGACTTACAATTTAAACATCAATTTAAAACTTTCATAGATTTATTTGATTTTCATATAACTGTTCAAATTTGCTAAAGTTAGACTAAAAATTGCTTACTGTATTTTTATATGCAATGTAATTGAAATTTAAATATTGCGTACATACAAAGTATTTAAAATTTGTGTATCAAGTATATATGAAGTGTTCAAAATTTTTGTATCGAATAATTTGAAAATGATCAATAACATATACGAAAAAGTTCAGGTGCGCATATAGGACATGCACAATAATTCAAATTAACACTCCGGGTTGTACTCCAGGCTGTATTCTAGGTTGTACTTCAGATTGTATTCTGGGATATTGCTCCAGATTATTGCTTCAGGTTAATGCTCCAGGTTAATGCTCTGAGTTATAAGAATAATTTTACTCCAAATGGCATAGTGGGCTTTCATTATGATTGGCCAATTTTTGTATATCATCTAGAAATAGGCAAATTGTAGTTTCTCCAGAAATCCTGCACAGGATTGGTGTCACAGTTAATCCATTGGCCAACAGCTGTAATCAACAAAATTCTGGCCCGCACTTTATATAATTTTGGCTGGAATTTAATTTTTTTTAATTTTTTTAATTACAAAAATAGAAAATTTTAAGGTTTGGTTTTGTGCAATGGTAAAATTAGCCCAGAAACATATTTCACTTAATGAGCGGTCACGATTTCATTAGTAAAAATTCATGTAATTTTGCATCGTTGCCATTGGCCAATTATTGTCTGGAGCGTAGCGACAGATGTGCAATTTCTACGCATTAAGTAATACAAAAGTTACGTTTTTGATGCGTTTCGGCCATCAAACGTTCCTTTTTGATGCATTAACATAATTATTATAATTAACATATCAATAACGTAACTTCGAAATTTTTTGTCTGTCCCGCCGCGTGATGCGTGATTACAAAACTATTTTGAAAACAACAATTGATTACTGGTACAGTCAGGGTTATTACCAAATATAGTAATGCTCCAGACTTATATCGGTTCCCGATTCCTAGTAAATATAAAAGAATTATATAAGTTCATACACGTAAAGAATAGATAGTGTAACCGTTGATGAGAGAGCTTAATAGAATTATGTAGATAAAAGGGCCAATTTAACCTCAACGGTGTACGGGGAGATAAAGACAACTTGAGAAGCGAAGGGAGTCTTTTATAACTATCAGAGATCTATTAGGACAATATGGCACTGGAATGAAGGCTTTAATATCAATAGGGTAATAATAGGGTGAAGCAACTACAGGCGATGCTGTTAGGAATATCTCGATAAGGATGGTGGAGTAAAAGCGGACGATGATCAAGTGATGTCAGTGATAACTTTATGTCCACGTGATGGATTAACCGGGTCGAATAATCAATCGTAAGTATCGTTCTTTACCACAATTCTCGCAAGTCACCAAGGTGAATGGCAATATCTGATTCCACAATCATTCCAGAATCCGAGTCTTAATAATTCAAATCGAAGTTACAAGTCAATTCAGTCTGTCGAATTGAGTCTTGAAAGGTTTTATTAAAGTTACAAGTCGAATTCGGAGAATATTTCACAAGGGCAATTCAGATAAGTATAAACTTTTTATTATTTAATGATAATTAAAGGTGGACATGAAACTCACCTCTTTCTTTATTTAATTCAGAGTGCTTATATACATTTTTTAACTTATAGGGTGTTTTCACTCTAATCTAAGTGAATTCGCTCTAATCTGAACATATTCACGATTTCTTGGGTGTATACACCTAGATCTGGGTGTATACGCTCAAGGCGCAGAGATCAACCGATTGGTGTAATCGCGTATTCGCGATAATTTGGGTGTATACGCGATTTCACATGTACTAAGCCACCAAGTCTCCTACTATTACTATTTTAGTATAAGTTATGTTATATTCAAAAGAAATTAATAAATTACCAAAATTGGGCATTGTTATCAGAATGGATGGGGAATTACTAATAAACTATGTACATGCGGCAAAGTTACCGATGAAAATATGAATTTAGAACAAAAATAAAGAAACTAAAATTTTAATTCGTTACAATAGACATATAAAGTAGAGTAAAAGCGGTATTTATTATTAATAAATTTAGACCTTATTAATACAATATACAATCTATAAACCGAAACTTATTACTATTGACAATCCAAACACAATGCAAGAACTGGTCCAATTTTTGTAAAATGATTCCAAATATCATGATTACCACCCATGTTATATTTATTTTTAAAAGAGTGACTTAATGATATTATATTTATTTATTATAACAAAAAATTTTTTGGTAAGCAAAAGATACTAACGGCAAAAAAGTAAATTCTTATTAAATATATATATACATATGCGAAACAGTATGCAAATGAATAAATAAATTCTACATAGAAATTCATGTTTCTATATAAAAATATATACATCTGGGATGCCCACAGCAAAAGCAGGGAATGTGACTATATATTATATAGTCCTATTCCCTGCTTTTGCTATTGGCGTCTCCATATGTGAAACAATATACAAATAAATCTATACATATCGATACATGTCAATTACTAATTATGTTAATGTAAGCCAGATAGTATGTTAATGCTAGCCAGCTGATATGGTAATTCCGGCCAGAAAATTTATTTGGGATCATATTAAAAATCCCACGCAGATCCGCGCGTACCCATCTCTAATATATCGTAAAATTTTATTGGTTGATTGAAGTTTTAGACTTTAACTAAATCGTCACTGATAAAGAAAACTAATATGCATAATGATAATTATAAAATTGTAATTTAATTAACACTGGCTGAAGTTTATCATAAAATCTCATAACTTTAAACCTAAAACTATTATTGCAACCAAAATTTTGACAAACCAAAATTTTATTAAGAATCCCAACAAATTATGAATCAAAAATAAATAAATAAAATAAAACATACAAAAGTAAATGTTTAAACTATTATTAACACTAATAACACCAATTTTTAATGCCTGCTCTAATACCAGATTGATTTTTAATGCTCATTCGTTATATTGTTACAGTACTATTGATATACTTCATTTTAACCCTTCTCATGAAATCTATAAGCCTTATAACTTACTTTATATTATTAGGTTATATAATAGTCAGGTTTTTTTATTAGTTGAGATTACAAAGAAAAACTTTTTCAAGTAAAAAAGTCCTAAATTGAAGAGTTTAAATGATTTATTGTACTTAAAAGCTAAACTTAACCATTTAAACATGCCTCTTATTTAACTTCCGAATTACCTTGTGGATTACTAAATTATTTGATAGTTTATCCCTTAAACTATCAGGTTTAGCAGCCAAATTTGAATGCTAAAATTTAAAACCAGTTATATCTGATCTAATTTTATTAAATAATAAAATTTAAAAAAAATTTTATATACTAATATTTTAAAAATAAAGATTACAAAATAGTAGTATTTTATTTTTAAATTATAAGAAAAAAAATATAGTTGCTTATATACTAAAAATATTAAAAATTTCTAAATTTGTTTAAAAAATAAATTTTATCTTTATTATTTGACAAACTTTTTAAAATTTTAAGCTTGCTCCATAATCTTAGAACAAAATTATAGAATTGATTTTTAAAAATAAGTTTAATTAATAAAATTTTTATAAATTTTTAAGTAAAATTTTAAATTTAATTAGAAACAAAAAAGCTTTTTTGTAGTTGCATATATATAAACATTTAAAAATTTCACACTATATGTTAAACTATGATTCAATTTATAAAAGAAAGATCTTTATATAAGCACAACTCCTATATAAGCACATTTTAAAAAAATTTACTATATGCCCAACTGTATGTTTTTATAGGAGAATAACTGTATTAAAATTATTTAAAAAATTTGTAAATTATTAATTATTCATATGTTATATTTTTATTTTAGCTTATGAATAGGAGATCAAAGGGGTTCGGGTCCTATAGCTTAATGGATAAGCTTCCGTCCCCCACAGACAAGGTCGACGGTTCGAGTTTGGCTGGAGGTAGAATACTCTGTAACCTAAAAAGGAGCCTATAATCGTACGTGAAGCCCTGTGGAAGTCCATGTGAAGGTACATGTTTGGTTTAAAGAATTCCCAGAAGGAAACCAGTACGGCAG